ACCGCCCGCTGCCAGACAGTCCAGTTTCCCCCGTATGAGTCTGGGTCCCCAGAGACTCGCCTGGAACTGTAGTTCAAGGCCATCGGGAGCTCGTGTCTCCCTCCCGATTGAAAAAGACAACTGTGTCCTCAGTTGGCAGCCCTTTCCACGTGCGCCTCCGTACCTCTGCACTTTATTCCACACCTCCTCTGAGTCTCAGTGTGCTTTTCTCTTTCCTTCTAGTTGTAGAATTTCCACTCAGCCAGCCTTCCTGTGGTTCTGGATGATGTCCGTTTTGTCTTTTGTATTTTTGAAGTGGTTGTGCAAGGCAGCAATTTCCAGTGTTTACCTATGCCGCCATCTTGGTTTCTCCTCACTATTTCCAATCTTAACATTTGACATAAATATATGATTATCTTTCATTGTGCCTTTAATTTAAACCACAAGAACTTGAGCTCATATCAGGAACATGTACTAAGCAGTATCATGAGAAAACTCAGCATTCATTGTAAAACTTAATAAATTAGACTTCCTTACTCTACGTTTTTTTCTGTTTTAACTTCTTAGCACTCAACATTTTTATTTCCTCTGTTATCTCCAAGCCAAACCTTCCAGGTTTCCCTGTTCACGTAGGAGAAATTGTTCCTCATCAGGCAATGTTCTCTTGGATAATTGCTTGGATTCTTTAGAATTGTTCATGGTGCTGAGGTCATTAAGTACAGTCCGCTCCTCAGGGCTCTGTAGGTAGGCTGGGGGCCGAGGCCCACTAAAGCTTTAAAACACAAAATCTGGCCCTGGCCGGTGTGGCTCAATGGTTGGGTGTCATGTGCACCAATAGGTTGCTGGTTCGATTCCTGGTCAAGGCACCTGCACAGGTTTGGGCCTCGATACCATGTAGGTGCAGGAGGCAGCCAACGGATCTGATGCCTCCCTCGCCTCTCTCTCTTCCTTCCCTTCCTCGCTTTCTAAAATCAATAAAAAACATCCTTTTGAAAGCCTGCTGGACCTCTGCTTTCAAGGTCAAGCTTCTTCTTGCTTCCAGCAGTGGAGACTTGGCTGCTTGCATCCTCGCACCTCTTCCCCCCCTGCCCCTGGGCCGCCCTTGATGCGAAGGCGTCACTAAGCCACCGAAAGTAAGAAGGGAAGGGAAGGAAGAGTGCGGGACCCGTGTTTCCTAGGCTTAGTCACCAGCTTAGTTTCCTGCACGTTCTCCGGTGTGTGAAATAGGCCTTAAAAAGCAAACCCAGTTCTGCCGTCGCCTTGTCCTGAGATGGGTGACCTCTTGGGGAACATCTTGAGCGTATGCCCATTCTGCATTCGTCTCTGCTTGATGTCACTGGCGGTAATGCCAGGTACACACAGAAAACTGCCCCCAGCAGAGCAAGACGAGTAGGATATAAAACACATACATATAGCCCAGCCGGTGTGGCTCAGTGGTTGAGTATCGACCCATGCAACAGGAGGATGCCCGGTTCAGTTCCACATCAGGGCACAGGCCTGGGTTGTAGGCTCAGTCCCCAGCAGGGGATGTGCAGGAGGCAACTGAACAATGATTCTCTCTCATCGATGTTTCTGCATCTCTCTCCCTCCTTTCCTCTCTCTCTAAAAATCAATAAAAATTTTTTTTACAGAATACACACGCACACACACCTGTGCACACACCTCTCACCCCTCTGCCTTGGGTCCTCAGCTGTGCTGAGAGCCACTCCCACCACGGGTGCTGCCACTCGGTCCATGTCAGGGACCTGCCCCCGGCACTCGGTGACTCAGGCTGCAGCCTCCCAGGCTGTGACTGTGAGCTGGCATCGGGTCATGATGAAGGAGCAGTTAGGCCCCCTGAACCACGAACACGTGTAAAACTGTGTCGCCTTCATTAGGTTCCTGTTTTTTTTGGTGCGTCACCGCCAACGTGATTGTTTGGCCCTAACCCCATTTTCCCATAAACCCCGTGGCTGGGACATTGCAGTTTTGCACAGCATGGTGATTTTTTTGGAATACGTGTGTTTTGTTACAACTGAATTGATTGAGCTTATCGATTGGTGAGTCCCAGAAAGAATTTTAAAAGGTGTGTGTTAGGGCAGTATCTTCCCACGCTCAGAATCCTCCAGCCTCTCTGGTTTTCAGGTGCATGTTCTCATTCACATGTATGTGCACATGTGTGTACACACACTTATAGGCACACACACAGTCACACACGGACACACACACGAGCAGCCTGAGGAGCAGGCCCAGCACCTGACATCAGAGTCGCTGTCCGGTTTCCCTCAGATGCAGACAGTTGGCTTCAGCTGCTGCTCATGTGTAGTGTCTGCCCTGCAGCCTCCCGAGAACATCAGGACATCGAAGGGGCTGGAAAGGAGGGAGGCCGCCCGAGCGTGGTTGTCACCCCCAGGTCTGCCCTCGCCTTGCTGTGTTACTAACGAGCCTTTGTTTTCCTCCTCATGCATCCGTAGTTTCTGAGCAGACGTTGCAGTCAGGTACAGTACAGAGCACCGCCGACCTCACAGCAACTGTTTCCTTACTTCCTGAGGGTGGTACTGTGAACAGAGGCAGCCCTGTCAGTGGAAACTCCCTTTCCCCTCAGGTTCCAGCAGCACAAGGGGCACGTACTGTGACCTGAGGGAATTGTAGGCTTGAGAACACAGTATCTTCACTTAGAACGCTCTCTGCCCCGTAGCGGCTGTTAAACCCAGTTAAACAGAGCGCACCTAGTCCATGCCGCTTCATGCTTCAGGGAGCGGGTGTGACTGGCGGACCCGGGGGGACCTTTGGGGTGGAGCTCAGGGCGCTATCTGTGATGTCTGTGATGCGCCCGTGCTTCTCACTCACAGTGTTTGAAAAGGCCTTGGCTGCTCCTCGCACTGTGGAGGAGACATCTCCAAGTCCTGAGCTCACCTGAACAAGTCTGTTGGAAAGCGTCGGGTTGCCGACGAAGCTGGGAGCGCTGAGCACATGAGACCTAACAGTGGTTATTTCTCGCCTCTGCTGTCCATAGCAATTTCATGCCTTCGTTTTCGGTCAGAGTTGGTGATCTTGTCTTTAAACCCAAGTTTGTGGTGAAGGGAACAGAAGCTAAACTCTTGCCAGAAATTTAGTGGAAAAGACCTTTTTCCCCTTCGCTCAGATCCGGTGTCACCAGGGCTTGTCTGGCCGAGTGGTGCCGAGTGTTCGAGAGACGTGGGCGTTTTCCTGAAAGGGACGGCGGCCGAGCACACCCCCAGCTCGCTGGGCCCGTCCTGAGGTGCCCTTCCCAGGGACGGTGTGGTGCTGAGGGTGGACGCCGTTTGAGCAGAGGCTCGTTTCTTTCTGCCCGTGGAGGCTAAGGGCCGGCCGGGGGAGAAAAGCGAGGATTGTAAAACCCGTTCCGTGTATAGACTGTCAGTTCATACAATGTGGACACGACTTTGTTCACACAGCTCGTGGGCTGGCTGATGGTTTTCAGCAGCAGGTCATGGAGGACTGGTGTTTAGATACAGAAAGGGTGGCAGAAGCTGTCTGCGAAGCAGGAACAGTGGCAGTGGCCTCAGTTACACAGACCAGCCTGTATTGGGGTCAGCCAGCTCCCAGCATCTAGGCCAGCAGCCAGGACACACCGTCTGCCTTCTCCGCCTCCACACCTCTGCGCAGGCAGTCCGGCCAGGCAGGGAGGGCGGAAACCTGTCCTGGGGTCAGAGCTGTGCTCACAGCTTATTTCCCTTTTGCTCATTCTCTCACCAGACTGCGGTGTCCTGGTTCCATACAATAAATCGTAGGATAAAACTGTCCTGTGGCGAACAGAGAATCGTTCTGCTTTTCTTTTCCTTTGGCCCATTGCTGCCAGTTGAGTGCATCATCTCGGTTTTAGATGAAGGGCCTCTATGGTTCCATCCGCTCTAAGTGCCGAGAATTTAATTTAACCGACAGGAAGTGCGCTTTAGAAGGAAGGAAAATGGGGCAAGAGATGGAGGATTTCAAGTGTATGGGGCATTCATTCATTCACCAATTATTTATTGAGCACTTCCTCTGTGCCAGGGGCTTCTAGTCACTAAGATAGCGCAGTAGACCAACATATCTGGCTTCCTGGAGCTTTCATTCTTGTGAAGAGAGACAGACAGTTACAGATCAATAGAGAAAACGCGCAGTTTGTGAATGGTGAGAAATGCTATAGAGAAAAAGCAAGGAGTGGACGGAGGAGGTTAGGCACGGAATGTGGATGTTAATGAGGCACCTCCCAACAAAGTGAAGACCTGGAGGAAGTGAGGGGGGAGTGTGCAGGCAGTGGAAGCAGCCAGTGCAAAGGCCCTGTGGCAGGAGCGGGCCTGACACAGCCGGGAGGGCAGCGGCTGAGCAGTGAGTGAACAGGGGATGGCTAGCAGGTGAGGGCACAGGCAAGGCACATGGTTCCAGGAAGTTGCTTCCACTCTGAGTAGGATGGGAAGCATTTCTCAGTGACTTCATCTCCGGCACCTCCTTGTCATCCAGACTTTGTATCTTTGTCAGGGAGCCCTGATTCATTACCCACCTGTTAGTAGCTGGGATCTTAGATGTAAATGTCCTTAAATGTTTTTGTTTGGGGAGAAAGTAAATTTGTATTTTTACCAGCCTTTGAATGGAAGTTATGTGAAGGTCAACGGCCTACTTCTAAAAAATGTCCTGTCTCTAATTTTGTGCCTTAGTTGAAAAGAACCGTTCCTCCGCATGTCGTGTTGCTGCAGAAATTTCACCGTAGCTTCTCTTATTCTGGTTACCGTGTCTACGCGGTCGACTTCTAACTTGTGCTGGTGGCTTGCGTCGGGCTGGGCTCCGCTCAGGGCTGCCCTGCCTCTGCATGGCCCACGGCGCTTCGTGCCTGTTTACCGTGATGCTTGTGCGTGGCGGGCGCCACTTGTCAGCGATGAACATCCGTTTTCGTCATCGTTTTAATGCAGTCCAAACTCTGCTGTGTTTTGTTCTCGATTAGCCTCTTCTAAAGTCCTGAAGAGCATGTGCGAGAGCTTCTACAAGTACTCGAAGCCCAAGAAAGTCCGCGTGTGTGTGGGCACCTGGAATGTGAACGGCGGGAAGCAGTTCCGCAGCATCGCCTTTAAGAACCAGACGCTCACCGACTGGCTTCTCGACGCACCCCGGCTGGCGGGCATCCAGGAGTCCCAAGGTTGGCCTTACGGTGTGGGTGTAGCTGACAAGTCCCGACCGAGTGCTTACCCTGGAAAGCAGGGGAGCCCTCCCCGATGTGCGTGACTTACAAAGGAGGCTGGGGTGTAGAAACTGGAAGTCCAGCGTTTTATAGACCAAACCCACCAGAGGCTTCCCTCCTCTTTATTTCTAGGTTTTACTTTCTGAGAAGCACAAAGGACCAGGCCTGTGGTTTTCGAATTTGAATGTGAAAACTCTCTCCCAACAGTTCCCTCGAATTTGCGGTTTTCTCAGCCGCTTGTTGTCTGGCCTTTTCTAAGACCCGCTTCCCCTCCAGTGTTGTTCCTGTTAGCCTGTGAGAGGGGCTTGTTCCTCTCCTGTCCATGGTATGAACTCGAGCAAGAGTCCTTTCAGATGACCTGTGCCCGGCCCTCCGGGTCTCCCAGAGGAACAGTCTTAGAGCAGCAGCCCTGGGCGCCTGCGTCGAAGTCAGTGTAGAGCAACGTTGTTCCACTCCCGGGCTTTTGTCTTCGGTGTGAATCGGTTAAACCGAAAACACACGTGGAGCTCATGAGACCTGGTGGTGGTCCCAGTCGTGTTCGTGTGGGGGCTGGGGGCAGCGGTGCCATTTGACAGGCTGCATTCTAATGGCCTTTCTTGAATGCATGCTTGTAGAGAGAAGAAGCAAGCCCACAGACATATTTGCGATCGGGTTTGAGGAGATGGTGGAGTTGAACGCGGGAAACATTGTGAATGCGAGGTAAGCAGGCAGGCAGCACCGGGCTTCTGGGGGCGGCATGGAGGGCAGATACCAGGTCAGCAGTGTCTGCAGAGAGGGAGAGGAAATAGGTGACGGTCCCTTTAACCTGTGAGAGAGCAGCTCGCAGACTGGGTATCGGATTGTTTCTACGCCCTGAAGAATGTTGAAAATCTTAAAGAATTTTTTACAGATCTCTTTGCTGTCTGGCTTAAGATAGCTGGCTCCTCACGTCTCCTTTGGCAGGAGTCTGTGGTGTGTTGTTTGGTTGAACTGCATGAAGAAAATTACATAAGTATGTAGCTGGAAATGGAAATATTTTAATGACCTTTTCCGTTGATTTTTTCTCTGAGACTACACCAAAATTCAACAAGTAGAGTAGCTTCTTAAAGTTTAGTTGCAGTATGGAATCAAACACACAGCAATGAGCTTGTGCGAAAGTTCATTTCTTATTGGTCTGTCTTTGACCGATGCATGATTTTGAAACATCGCATGTTGTTCACTGAGAAGACGTTAGCTCGCTGAGTGAGGGAGATCTTCACATGGTGGCCGTGCCCTTACACACTCAGAATACGCGTCGGTGCCATCGTCGCTGACCTCATCAGCAGCTGTGGAGGGTCGGGGACTTGTCAAGGTCACAGGAGCAGCCACACGTTCCCCAAAATTCTCAGTTTTGCTTAAAAACTCAAATTTTATCATTGGGAGCACATACCGAAGGTGGTTTCCCTTGAAAAGATAGGATTGGTCCAAAAAGGATTTGCTAAATAACCTAAGTCTGAATAACCAGTCTTCCTGGGATTAATTCTTTAAGTACAAATTGTTTTCTATGAAAAAAGCGGCAGTTCATCTCTCAGCTCACTCTGTCAGGTGCTTTTCCGAGAAATGACAGCCACTGTCACAGGGCAGGCGGATGCTGTGTGTATCCCGTTGTCACACAGCCCACGGGAGGGGCTGGGGCTGCGCTCCGATCCAGTCAGTGTTGGTTGCTTCATCAGGACCGTCTCAGTGAAGCGCACTCGTTAAAGTGCAGTGCAAGGCAGTGAGGAGGGCACCCACCGGGCCCCCCACCGGCTCCGTGCAGGGCGCCGGCCCTCGGGCCTCGTGGCTTCTGCCCCGTCACAGCGGACACCCGTGGACACAGTGAGGGAAGCAGGGTCTCAGTAGTGCATGGAAATGGCTTCGAGCTCGTGGGTTTGGGGCCCCCAGGGATGTTCCCAGACCACACTCTGAGAATTGCTGTTCTGAAGCCTCATTACAAATCAAATTATTTGAGGGAAACCCAGAGCTGAACAGCTTTATTTTAACCAAGTGTGTCTGCTTTTAAAGTTGAGCAATTGTCCATCTTTGATGACTTTTAAAAAGATTTTCAGAATAAACTTGTGGGTGAAATAGTATGGTACGAGAGTGTGGGCCTTGTTTGGACCCTGTAAGAAGACAGTGTGGCTCAGTGGTTGAGCATCAACCCATGAACCAAGAGGTCACTCGTTCGATTCCTAGTCAGGGCACATACCCGGCTTGAGGGCTCCATCCCCAGTAGGGGCGTGCAGGAGGCAGCCAATCGATGATGTTTCTCTCTCATCAATGTTTCTATCTGTCTCTCTCTCTCAAAATCAATAACATTTTTAAAAGTTTGAATACATATATAAACTATCAGTGTAATTGACAGCCGTCTTACTAAGCAGGCGCCCTTGTCTGTGTCTTTGCTCCGTCGCAGCACCACGAACCAGAAGCTCTGGGCCGTGGAGCTCCAGAAGACCATCTCCCGGGACAACAAGTACGTGCTGCTGGCCTCCGAGCAGCTGGTGGGCGTCTGCCTGTTCGTCTTCATCCGCCCGCAGCACGCGCCCTTCATCAGGTTGGTGCCTCCGGCAGCTCCCTCCGCTGCTGTTTCCCAGGGTGTCTGAGGAAGGGGTGACAGGGCACTGGGAAACAGGGTGCGCGCTCCTGTCATGTCACGCCCGCCCCGATGTCTCGTGCACCGGGGCCTGTTGGTGTCGCATCGTTGATTCCGGGTTCTTTGCGTCCCAGGGATGTCGCCGTGGACACCGTGAAGACGGGCATGGGAGGCGCCACGGGCAACAAGGGAGCGGTTGCCATCCGCCTGCTGTTCCACACGACCAGCCTCTGCTTCGTGTGCAGCCACTTCGCCGCAGGGCAGTCCCAGGTCAAGGAGCGGAACGAGGACTTCGCGGAGATCGTGCGGAAGCTGAGCTTCCCCATGGTGAGCCCGCGCTCCGGCAGGGGCCCCGGGAGCTGTGCTCAGCTTCTGAGGATTCCACGTGGTGCCTAGAAGGTCCAGCAGCGCTCGCCCAGACAGATACCTCACGTGTTCTCACCGCGGGGTGACGTATGAGCGCGGCGGAGGGGCAGGCGGCACAGCCATCGCCCTAAACATTGTGAGTTGCGCTGACCGGGAACCCCTCTCCTGGCTCTAGGGACGGATGCTCTTTTCCCACGATTACGTGTTCTGGTGCGGCGACTTCAACTACCGCATCGACCTCCCAAATGAGGAGGTGAAGGAGCTCATCAGGCAGCAGAACTGGGATGCCCTCATCGCAGGGGACCAGCTCATCAGCCAGAAGAACGCCGGGCAGGTGCGTCTCGGGGGACCGCGCGGAGAAGGGGGCCTTGGCTCTGCAGCCGCTTTTCTTAGCCGAGTGCTGCCTTGTCAGTCTCGCGGGGCCTCTACACCTAATGAACACATAGCTGTAGTGTGACAGGTGCAGAGTTACCTTCCCTTTAAAAAAAGAAAAGGAGAGGAAAGGAAAACCCACATTAACTCCCTGGAAAAAAAATATATTGTCTCAATAAGATTAACTTTTAAGTAGAAGAATATACTTTTTTAGTAATAATGACTTTAGAATCTTTGTCTTCAGGGCTACTGTTTTTTAACTTAAGATCATGGGATAATATGCTTTATTTTTTTCTCTTATTTCTTATATCACCTGCCTTTTTAAAAATATATTTTTTATTGATTTCAGAGAGGAAGGGAGAGGGAGAGATAGAAACATCAATGATGAGAGAGTCATTGATTGTTGGCCTCCTGCACGCCCCCCGCTGGGGATGGAGCCCACAGCTCGGGCCTGTGTCCTCCTGGTTCATAGGTTGACACTCAACCATTGAGCCACACCAGCCGGACTTATCTGCCTGTTTGAAACTTATTTCTTAAAACGTATGGCCACAGCATCTTGGAAGAATTAAGTAGAAGTTCTTTCAGAGTGCAGGCGATTGTGGCCACTTGCTCTGGTGCCTTCATGGGCAGCGGTCACCAGCCGGTGGGCCGCGGACCGCTGGGGTCCGTGAGGTCCGAAGGGTTGGTGACCGCTGTTCGTGGGGGTCAGACCCGCATTCGAGCTCTTGGGTCCTCATCTGAGAACAGACATGCGACCAGATGACTTCCATGTCCCGACGGGGCTGTGGGCTCCTTAGTGCGAGGCCAGCGGGCGCCTGAGGCCACGGGTCGGGTTCTTCCCTCCTTTGTTCCGCGCATTGGATGTGTTTATCCGACGCGCACAGATGTCAGGAGAGGCCTCAGTGCTGAGACGTAGTGAATGCTGCCTCAGTGAAAATGTTTTGCTTTGTAAGCAACTTACTTTGTATATAAATAACTTCCTTTGTATATGTTTATTGTAGATTTTTAGAGGATTTTTAGAAGGAAAAGTAACCTTTGCTCCGACATATAAATATGATTTGTTTTCTGAAGACTATGACACCAGCGAAAAGTGCCGCACCCCCGCGTGGACCGACCGTGTCCTCTGGAGGAGGAGGAAGTGGCCTTTTGATCGATCAGGTCGGGAAGTGGCTCCTCATGTCACTGAGCTGGTGCGGGTTCTGGGAGGGAAGGAGGGAAGGAGGGAGGGGTGTGAGTGTCAGAGGAGGGGCTCCTTGCAGATGGATGTATTTATTTTTACTTTTCTAATTTTTTTGTTTTATTTTTAATTCCATCTATTGGGGGTGACTGGTTAATGAGATCATGGAGGTTTCAAGTGTCCGTCTCTATGGTACATGGTCTGTGTGCCACCTATGTGCCCACCACCCACAGAAATATCTTCCGTCACCATGTTTGGCCCCTTCACCCTTTTTTTTTTTTTAATATATTTTATTGATTTTCTACAGAGAAGAAGGTAGAGGAATAGAGAGTTAGAAACATCGATGAGAGAGAAACATCGACCAGCTGCCTCCTGCACGCCCCGAAGTGGGGATGTGCCTGCAATCAAGGCACATGCCCCCAACGGGAATCGAACCTGGGACCCTTGAGTCCACAGGCCGACGCTCTATCAACATCGATCAGCTGCCTCCTGCACACCTCCCACTGGGGATGTGCCCACAACCAACGCACATGCCCCTGACCGGAATCGAACCCAGGACCCTTCAGTCCGCAGGCCGACGCTCTATCCACTGAGCCTCACCGGTTTCGGCGGCCCCTTCACCCTTTACTTCTTTTTAGCAAAGGTTACCTAGGATAGAGTAAGTGAAATTTAATATGAAACAGATTTTAAAAATATTCTCAGATTTGCCTTTAATAACTTACTGAACTTTTCAGTCTGCCTCAATGGCGTTATTTCACATAAAGAAAGCGAGAAAGCACTCTGACATGTTAGTTGGCCGCCAGCTGAGGCGCCGACATGTCAGGTGTGTGCACATGCTGGGAGCCGCTGCTGCCCTGGAATTGCTTGCGCAGCGCTGTCTGGGCACAGGCCCTGGAGCCACCTCAGGTGAAGCCGCCTCTCACTTGCTACTAAGTAAACGTCAAGCTGTAACTTCACCACAAGCCTCTCTGACCTGCAGGTGTGAGACCTGCTGCCTGTCCGCGAGGGTGTCTGTGCGGCAGCCGCGGAGACGGAAGGGGCGAGGAAGGGGCCGGCCGTCTGTCCTGCCGCTCACGCCCTCTGTTCTGTTGTCTCGCTGCAGCGGAGGACTTGGACCTCCTCAACGCCAGTTTCCAAGACGGAAGCAAAATCCTCTACACGTGGACCCCGGGCACGTTGCTGCACTATGGGCGGGCCGAGCTGAAGACCTCCGACCACAGGTGCCGCGTCTGCGTTCGCTGGGCTCGCCATTGAGGGTGACACGGTCCTTCCGGAAGCATCCTAACCCTGTCTTCCTCGCGCCTCAGGCCCGTGGTCGCCCTCATCGACATTGACATCTTCGAGGTGGAGGCCGAGGAGAGGCAGAGCGTCTACAGGGAAGTCCTGGCCGAGCAGGGCCCGCCCGACGCCACGGTGCTGGTCTCCGTCCGGAGCGCGGGGCCAGAGAGCAGCTTCTTCGATGACACTTTGATCGACGAGCTTCTGCAGCAGTTTGCGAATTTTGGTGAAGTGGTTCTCATAAGGTGAGAGGACTATTTATCGTTCAGGAGCAGCTCATGATTCCTAAATCACATTTTCTGTATTCGAAAGGGCCTTACCTGGGGTTTGAATAGTATTAAACGTTGTTATTTCCAAGCTGTGGGAGATCCATGCTCTGGAACAGGGGTGGGCAAACTTTTTGACTCGAGGGCCACAATGGGTTCTTAAACTGGACCGGAGGGCCGGAACAAAAGCATGGATGGAGTGTTTGTGTGAACTAATATAAATTCAAAGTAAACATCATTACATAAAAGGGTACGGCCTTTTTTTTTTTTAGTTTTATTCATTTCAAACGGGCCGTAGTTTGCCCACAGCTGGTCTAGAACGTTATTCAGTCCGGCTGGTGTGACTTAGTGGCTGAGCGTCCACCTATGAACCAGGAGGTGAGGGTTCGATTCCCAGTCAGGACACATGCCTGAGTTATGAGCTTGAACCCCAGTAGGGGGTGTGCCGCAGGCAGCTGATCAATGATTCTCTCTCATCATTAATATTTGTATCTCTCCCTCTCCCTTCCTCTCTCTGAAATTGATAAAAACATATTTTTAAAATAAAATAAAACATTAGAGTCTTAAGAAGAAGAAAAAAGTAAGTAAACAAGGAAAGGACTCCTGTCACCAGAAAGACTAAACTGACTCTCACCTTCTGGGCCAGAGCAGGACACCAGCAGCGAGTGACAAGTCTGACCTCCCTCCCGTGTAACCAGGAGGCTCCTGGAAACGTGGACGGCACACGGTTAGGTGCACGTAGACACTCGTCTCCATCGGGAAACTCTAGAAGCTTTACCCTTGGAGTGAAAAGGGGGAGAAAATGCAGCTTCTGGGAGGACCTAATGAATCCCTGGGCATTAGGACCGGAGTCTGTCAAAGTGAGACGTGTGCGAGGGGCACCTTGCTGATGAAGGATTGGACCAAGCATTGGCCCTGCCCCGTGGCCACGGTGCCTGGAGCCGCCGGCAGAGAACAGCGGTGCGGGCGGGGGTGGGTCTGAGTGCAGCCACAGGAAGGAGGGCGCTCCCCACCGTCAGCGGGGGAGGTCGTCATGGTCCTCAGGTAGGATGGCTTCTCCGTCTTTGAAAGGATAGGATCCTGCAGCTTCATAGGCTGGGCCAGAGAAGCCGGGCACATTGAGTGACTGTGGAAATCTGTCCCGGCCTTTGCTGTAAGCTGGCAAAGTAACTGCACACGTGTGCTTTTATTTTAGCCTTTTCCTCTCAACGTCCAGGATTCATGCTTTGGAAACCTAGTTAAGGGAGCCTGTGTGTGTGTGTGTACCTCAATGCGTGTATGTATTTCTCATCTTTGAAAAATCTGCCAGGATTTCTGAACTTGCACAGTGTGGGTTATGTGAACTCATCAGGCTGTGTCTGTAGGTCAGACTGGCAGTGCCGTGTTTGCGTGATAACGTTATTACGTCTCAGTGACCATCTTCAGGGCTTATCCTGATGTCCTTTATTTTTTACTCTTGGGTATTTCAAAATTGTAAACAGAATCATAGCCAAGGCCATCGAAGTCCCCAGACAGTAAGTGGCTGTCAGTGAGCAAAGACCAGACCGTAACCTCAGGCTCCTTGGGGAGGTCCGAGGCTGGTTTAATGAACACCCCATCTTCTTTCTTGGTCAGAGGACATTGCTTCAGGGCAGTCGTCATCCCTCCCGCAGGTCTGTGGGGTCAGGAGACTCGGACTCTGTCCTGTAACTTACGTGCCTTGTAAGGTCACTGGGGACGAGCTATTCAGCCCCTGGCCCCTTTCCCGGGATGTGAGGTGGCAGAGCGGATGAGCAGGGGTCACAGATGGCCCTCACCACAGGCCCGGTGCTTCTGGCTGCCTGTTAGCCCTGTGTGAAAGCCATTGGATGTGGAATCTTGGGGGAAGAGCGCCCCCACCAGGTCACCCGCCTGCAGCTCTCTCCAGTGTTTACTTCCCGGCTTCAGAGGGCCCTTGTTCATCAATCATCATCAGACGAGTCACTAGGCTAGTTATGTCTGAAATATTAATTATGTTTTTTTATTGTTCGTTTTTCTCTCTCTCGAAGGTTTGTAGAAGATAAAATGTGGGTTACATTTTTGGAGGGAAGTTCTGCCTTGAGTGTTCTGAGCCTCAGTGGTAAAGAGGTGAGTAGCTTTTGCTGACTCTGAGTTCTGTAATGAAGTGAACAAGGGTTATGCTTTTATACAAATGCAGCAAGATTATCTAAATGAATTTCCAGTTCCAAAGGGGGAAAGACCTTATGGAGAACTTTAATATTTATTATTTAAGACTAGGTGTCTGACTAGTTCAGGATTATTTTTGTCTGTCCCTAGAGATATTAACCATTGATCTAGATTAAGAAGAAACCGTGTTTACCATCTAATTTGATTTTAATTATCCTATATAATAAGGAGGCAATATGCAAATTAATCCTCACACCCTCACAAGATGGCTGCCTAGAAGGCGGAGCTTTTTATGCTAACTGGCATAGAAACCGACCAATCAGAACCTAATCTGGGTGAACTGCGAAGGCAGAACCTAAGGTGGGGGCTGAGGAGGGGTTTTAAGGGCAACAGCTGTTTGGTGTAAGGTATAAGAAAGTGGTTCAATTTTTTAATGACCGGTTTGGCAGTATAGTGCATATGGCTGGCTATCAGTCCAGATATAGGGATTATGTATTTTTGTTTGCCAAGAGCATCTCCTCCTGAAAAAGGCTTCCCCCATTTAAGCAATCCTATCCTGTATAATCTATCTATACTAATAAAAGGGTAATATGCTAACTAGACCGGGTCAACCAGCCATCATCCGGATGTCTGACTTCCTTCCGGACAAAACCATGGTGGTAGGGGCCAAGGCAGAGGCCGTTAGGGGCGATCAGGTGGCAGGGGAGGGCCACTGGGGGCAAGATCAGGCAGGCAGGCAGAGGCAGTTAGGGGTGATCAGGCCGGCAGGGGAGAGTAGTTAGGGGTGATGAGGCAGGCAGGCAGAGGGGTTAGGGCCAATCAGGCAGGCAAGCAGAGGCAGTTAGGGGCGATCAGGCAGGCAGGCAGGTGAGTGGTTAGGAGCCAGCAGTCCCAGATTGCAAGAGGGATGACTGATTGCCAGTCGTCAGACATCTCCCAAGGAGTCTCTGATTGGAGAGGGTCCACACTGGGCTGAAGGACCCCCCACCCTACCCCCGTGCACGAATTCTGTGCACTGGGCCACTAGTTGTTATATAAACTTTTTTAAATTTGTAAATTTGAATCAGGTATTCTGGCTCATCTATATAGTAGGAAAGATTTCCATCAAATGAATAAAATGCTTTATTGATAAGAAAACAAGGAAGAAGGTACTCATGATTCCTAGGAACTTGTTGGATTGGCTTAGATAGTGGTACCCAGGCCCCCTTTTCAAGCATAGGGACCATAATTCTCATAGAGAATATAGTCAGAAATATTACAATAGCTGTGTATGGTGTCAGTGGGTACTGGACTTATGATCACTTCATCAGGTATATAAATACCTAACCTCTGCTTTTGCAGTGGGTTTTGTAGGGTCTTGTTTTCCCAAATGTAATCGTAGCGTCCTCGTGCAACAGGAAGTCAGGAGACCAGGAAAGCTCTTCCGCTCTGACGGTCCGGAGCCCGGAAGGAGCAGGAGCTGTGGCTGTCTTAGCCTTGACCCCTGGCGCCACGTCTGCAGCCCCTGCTGTGTGCTGCGCGCTGCGCTCTCCCCAGCGCGTCTGGTGACCGCCGTGTCCTCGCCATCTGGGAACTTCTGACTTTTAAATGTCATTCTAGCTTTTGTCTCTTAAAAACCCCTTTCTCATCCCACGTGATGTTTAAGGGCAGCTCCTATGTCGGCCTTTCTTGTCAACTTCTACCCCCTTTCTGAGTTTTCCTTTTGCCTTTCCCTGACAATTTAATCCCCTCCCACCCCCCTTCAGCTCTGTCCCTCACCCTCAAGTCTAGTCGTCTATGTTATACTCTTAGAAAGTATCCACTCAGGTCCCTCACAAGGCTTTCCAAGTTTTGTAAAACTGTTTGTGGAGAGCGTAGTCTGATGATTCGTGTTCCTCCTGGGGCCGAGGAGCTCCGGTGTGGACAGGAGATTGGCCACTGTCTCTCCTGTGGCTGTTCCACGCGGGACAGTTAACATGTGGTCCAGGTCAGAGGAAGCGCCACGTTATGCAGCCAGTTGTGGGTGAACTTGCACCCGGTGGGGAGACACTGGCTGCAGCAGAGGACACAGCTCTGTGCCTGGGACAGGCCTTCGCTGTCGCAGCACGTGCTTCTGACGGGAGCGTGGGGCGTTTGAACTGGTTAAAACCAGTGTGTGGAGCAGTGTGCTGCCTCGGTCTGCGTTAGACCTGTGTGAGCAAGGCAGCCACCGTGTTCCACGAGAGTTCGTTTCCAGGCCAGTGAACTGCTGTCTGTGTCTCTCACTCCACTAGTTACTGGGCCGGACTATAACGATCACTTTGAAAAGTCCCGACTGGATCAAGAATTTGGAAGAAGAAATAAGTTTAGAGAAGATTAACATCCCGTTGCCTTCATCGACAAGCTCCACGCTGCTGGGCGAGGACGCGGAGGTGGCGGCAGACTTCGACCTGGAAGGTTTGTTTATGGAACACGCGCTCGCGTGCTTCTAGGCCACAGGGACTGCAGAGACGGAGGGAACTGGCCCTGGAATCGCGAGCAGAGAAACAGACCAAGCGAAGGCCAGAGAGGGCTGCCCTGAAAGGAAAATGTGAAGAAGCCACTGGGAGTGTCAGAGCCGAGAGAAAGCAGTGGCTGAGGAGTCAGGAAGGAAATGGTAACGAGGAGGGAGTGTCAGTGTGTCCTGTGTCGCAGAGGAGGCGTGAAGGCGGCAGCTGGTCCCTGAAGCAAACAGCAGAGGAGCTGGGGGCCTTCCTGAGAGCCGCTGGGGGGCGGGGAGAGCAGGTGCTGGTGCGTGGAAGTGTGGACGGAGGTGGAAGTGTGGATGGAGGTGGAAGTGTGGATGGAGGTGGGCGTGGAGGTGGATGGAGGTGGAAGTGTGGACGGAGGTAGGCGTGGAGGTGGATGGAGGTGGAAGTGTGGATGGGGGTGGGCGTGGAGGTGGAAGTGTGGATGGAGGTGGGCATGCAGTGCCTGCAGATGTTCTTTTTTTGTTTAATATATTTTATTGATTTTTTACAGAGAGGAAGGGAGAGATAGTTAGAAACATCGATGAGAGAGAAACATCGATCAGCTGCCTCCTGCACACCCCCCACTGTGGATGTGCCCGTAACCAAGGTACATGCCCTTGACCAGAATTGAACCTGGGACCCTTCGGTCTGCAGGCCGGCGCTCTATCCACTGAGTCAAACTGGCTAGGGCAAAAAATAATATTAACCACAAAAAAAACCCACCACAGCCTGGCTGGGTAGGTCAGTTGGTTGGAATCTCGTCCTATACACCAAAAGGTTGCGGATTTGATACCTGGTCAGGGCACGCCTAGAATGTGGGTTGGGTCCTGGGTCAGGCCATGTACGGATAAAACCAAGGACGTTTGGCTCAGCCCTAGCCGGTTTGGCTGCGTGGTTGGTTCGATTCTGGTCAAGGGCACGTACCTCAGTTGCAGGCTTCATCCCCAGCCCAGACCCACTGGAGCGTGTGCAGGAGGCAACCAGTTGATGTGTCTTTCTCACATTGATGCTTCTCTCTCTCTCTCTTTCTTTCTCTTCTCCTCCCCCCTCCTCCCTCCCTTCCATTCTCTCTAGAAATCATTGGAAAAAATATCCTCGGGTGAGGATTAAAAAATGAGAGACTGGGAGACAGAAGCGGGAGGTGGCGGTCGGAGGAGGTGTGGGGAGTCTGTTGTTTCAGAGGGAGTGCGGGGCTGGGAGGGCATGTTTGGAGTGGAGGAGAGCGTCTGTGGGGAGGAAGGACAAGACCAGGGTATTTAAGTTAGAGGGTTGTCCACGTGGCCTCTGATTCACCCAGAAAGATGTCACTTACAGTCCTGCTCTCTGTCGGTTCCCCCTGCGTGGGCTCAGTGTGGAGGAAAGGTGGGGGTTGGAGACGGCGGCAGCAGGCGAGGTGGAGGGTGGGAAGTAAATGCCGATGGCAGAGCCGCAGAGAAGTAGCCGTTAGTCCATGAAGACTCATGCTCTGGAGCGCGAATGAGGTTGCAAGGGATGCCCTGGCCCCGCTTTCCAGCGCTGAGTCAGGAGACGAGGAGGCCTGGAGAACCAGTTCAGTTAAAGCTGAGAGAGTCCGTGAGGGGCGGGAAGGAGGCTCCGGGGAGGTGCCCCTGGGCGGGGCGGCGAGGGGCCATGCCACAGCAGTGGGAGGTGGAGGGACAGCAGTAGATGGTCATCGCCCTGTGGATCGTGGAAGCCCAGGCCCGCCCAACTCCCAGTCAGGTCCCCACGGCCTGTGGCTCTGAGAAGCGTGTTCTGTCCGAGTGCTTGTGCTGATCTAGCCCCATCACCGTAAGCTTCTCTCCACGCCCACGCAGCCCACGCCCGCGTCAGTGTCAGACAGCGCTGCTTTTGTACTTGCCCCTCGGCCCAGGCTGGTGCGCAGTCGGGAAAGCTAGGCCGCGTGACTGCCCTTGTCTCCCCAGGGGACGTGGACGACTACAGCGCCGAGGTGGAGGAGGCTCTTCCCCAGCACCTGCAGCCGTCCCCGGGCTGCGGCCTCGGCGCGTCCCCCAGCTCTTCCCCGCGGACCAGCCCCTGCCAGTCGCCCACCATAGTGGACGTCCCCCTGCCCTCCCTGCCCGTCAGGCCAAGCCGGACCCCGTCCAGGACTCCGGGGCAGCCGCCTCCACAGAGTGTGTATTGGGGTCGGGTTCAGGAGGCCTTCCCTGGCGCCTCGAGCTCCCGGGGAGAGTCGGGGGGCTGTGTTCCTGTGCAGGTGGGCAGAGGCTCGCGTGTAGGAAGGGGAAGCTCTCAGGAGGCGCCCTATGTGGAAACAATTCCAGGCTGCGTCCTCATCCCTGTCCCGTGCCTGGCTGGCCCGTGTTTCACCGATGCCTGTCCCTGTGGTAGTGAGGAGCCTGCTGTTAGCCGAGCGCTACAGCCACACGTGGCCTCTGTTACCATGTGAAGCGGGAAGAGACCAGCGGACGTTGGCACTGGAACTGTGGTCAGCCCTCCGAGGCTGGAATCCGTCTTTGGAAGCTGTTTCTAGCTCATGAACAATGACTGCCCACGTGACCAGCATCTCCCGTGCCGTTAGCGTCTGGTTTGCCTTCCCACTCGCTAAGGAAGTTCACGTTAAGGCACAGAGAAAGCCAGCCTCCCTTCTCTTCTCGCTGCTGGTCAGCGGCTGCCAGTCACGTACACAGCTGGGCCGTCCCCCCGGGCCGCTGAGGACGGGGCGGCCCCTGGGCCCAGCGAGCATTACTGCTCCCGCGGCACAGAGCGCTGTGACAGGCACTATGTTACTGACACTGAACGTGCATGTCATCTGGCTACAGTGCAGAGTGAGGGAATCACAGGATAGAGTTCACAGCACGGAGGCAGGAGGCACCGTCCCTCGCCTCACACCCCTTCACCCTGCTCTCCTCTCCCAGGCGCTTTTCCCAGTTCTCCCGTGGACGCTCCGCCAGCCGCGCAGCCTCAGAAGGATGCCCCGCAGGTCCTGGAGCCCAAGCGGCCGCCGCCTCCCCGCCCGGGGGCCCCTCCCGCGCGGCCAGCGCCCCCACAGCGACCACCTCCACCTTCAGGTAACAGACCACCGTGTCCCCCTGCTGGACAGAAAGCCCTGCCCGCGACACGGGTCAGGTCTCCGCTTCTAGATGTCATTGTCTTTCTGTCATTGTTGCTACTTCCTCGCTGTTCTCTGCAGAACGCAGCAGGCGCAACCATGGGTAGTCTGCCCACTAGGCTTCCGTCGCGGCCTCTCCAAGTGTACAAGAGTCTGCGTCGCTGCTGCTGACGGATGCAGCGTGCTAACTCCTGTTCACTGTATAGTCAGACCCAGAGAACATACATGCTTACTATGAAGCTTCACATGTTTGTGTAAATGTTCTTTTTATTTCATTTTATTTTATTGATTTCAGTGAGGAAGGGAGAGATAGAAACATCAATGATGAGAGAGAATCATGGATCGGCTGCCTCCTGCACGCTCCCCACTGGGGATCGAGCCCGCAACCCAGGCATGGCCAGAATCGAACCTGGGACCCTTTAGTCCAGTGGTCGCCAACCTTTTGGATCTTACAGACCACCACTGGGCCGGGGGCCACTGGTTGACGACCGCTGCTTTAGTCCACAGGCCGATGCTCTATTCACTGAGCCAAACGGTGAGGGTTCAGTGTTCTTTTTAATAAGTATGTGTTGTTACTGGAGTTATTAGAAGTGCTTGCATTAAATAACAGCTTTTGTAATAGCATGATGCTCTTACATAGCTTCTGCATGGTGTCTGATGGCGGACGGCTAACGCATCTGACATCTCATGCCTTACTCTGTCCTTTCCTCTCTGCTGCGTGTTCCTGGGGCCCAGGGGCCAGGAGTCCTGCGCTGGCCAGGAAGGAGCTTGGAGGTAACCGTTTGTTTGTTATCACTTGAGCACGTGGCCATGGTGTTTGGAGTTTGATCCCTGTAACTGAAAGGCATTAGGTTTGTTTGGTAAAAGTCAAAGTGAATGACATTCATATTTTTAATGGCTCCAAACTCCCCCTCTCCTCCTGTTGAGTTAGGCCTGGCGCTCAGTGTATGAGTAATAGGCCCTGCACAGGCTGCCCGTTCCCGATGGACAGCGTGGTCTGCTCGCCAGCCTCAGGCACCAGCCTCAGTCCGGAGAGTCATGGCCACAGAGGCTCACTCCCCAGGACCATGCTGGTTTCCGCGGGCTCAGCACAGCCCAGTGTTGGCCCGGCGGCGCTCCGCCCAGCGCCTCGTCCAGCGCCTCGTCCAGCAGCCCACACGCGCCGTGGCGGCAGGGCGTCCGAGCTGGTTCCAGCAGAATCGCCAGGCGGACACAGCCTTCCTTCTCTGTGGCCTTGTCTTAACTTGCCGTGACTCTCACGCCTCCGTTTCCTAAACATAAGGACAGTGTTTATTAGCAACCGAATCACTTTGGGTTTAAATGTAGTTTATTTGGTTTATGTGAAAACTCCAGAGCTCAGTTGGAGGTATATATTTGATTGCTAAGTTATTTCAGCATTACAGCCGCAAAACACTGCTAGCTGGTCATTTTCCCATGGACTCAGAGAAATGTTAGTTTTTCCTGTTTCAAACTCTTGCTTTTAGTTGCATTTCCTTGATAATTCTGCTTATATTCTCCTTCAATGAGGAAAACAACCAGTAGAAAGTAAATTTTTAATGAATTTGTGAAAAGGTATGTCAAATTACCAACTTAGAAATCCGATTTAGTTTTTTAAAATTGCCTCTAGTGACCTTTGTCAGCAGTATGTGCGCATTTTCCCCTGTAAACCAGTGACTCTGTAAGGCAGTGAGCTCAGAGAAAGTCACTCTATGCTCTTGGAGTTTTTTAGAAATAGGAAGCAAAATGAACTTCTGAGAGACTAACGTTGTCTCAGAAATTAAAGTGAAATTCACATGGAGTTTTTCCGTTTGGCCGTCGCGTCCTGAGCTCGTACCAGTTCAGCTCTGACCCTCGGGGCGAGGTGAGGTGGCAGAGGCTTTCCTCACACCTGTTCCCGCTGCAGCGGCGTGCAGACAGGAGGCCCCGTCCCTCCGCTCTCCCAGGGAGGGAGGCGGTGGGCAGGCGTCTACGTCACTGGTTTGTCCTGATTAAATAGGAGGAGGAGCTTCACGTAGACAAAGAGTCTTTTTGCAAAATTAAGGTTAACGCAGACATTGTCTGTGTGCCCGCCGTCTGCTCCGTGCTGCGGGCCCCAAACAACATTCGGCTTCTGTTCCTTCTCTAAGAAGCTACACGTCAGCCCCTCCAGTGCAGGAGGCAGACCAGCCACGAACGCCCCCCTCTGTGCACCTTGAAGCCTCCTTCCCCTTCATTCTGTGTCCGGTTTCCAGTGGGCACCTTCCTTTCCTTGCGACTCCTCTGCGGTGTTATGCTGTCCTGTATCTATTTCATATGCGCTGAGGATGTCAAGTTACTGTACAATGTTATTTTAAGGAAAATACTTTCAAAATCCTTTCCAGAATAAGTCAAATATTTAGAAATATACTATTCTAACCCTGAGCTTTTAATAATTATAGATAAGCCCTGTTAATTCAGGTCCAGGAATTATCTGTGAGTGATTTCACATAACATAGTTTTATCTGTAACGATGCTGAACTAAGTTTGCTTAAAAGACGCCAGGAGCAGAAGCCGTTCACGGTGATGACAGTCGTCAAGGGGCTGATGAGTCTCATATAACAGTTTCCTTTCAAAAGAGTCAACCTGAGGTCTGCATTTCACCATGGCCCACTTCTTCCCTGAGGCAGAGACTTAGCAAGGAGGCCGCCTGCCTTCGGCCTTGGCCGTGGGATTGTTACAGAAACCCCACAGGCGCCTCCCAGGCCCTCTGCCCATCAGGATGGCCACGGCTGCCGCCCCGAGCGTGTGGTTGGAGCCCTGTCAGCGGGTCTGTGTGTTCAGGAGCCCTCGGGGCATTCAGTACCGATGACCTTCACCGTTATCCAAAGCCAGTCCTTGTGACCAGAGACAGAGCAGCCCGCCCCGGCATGTGCTGCTCACTCACGACTGTTTTTTCTTTCCCGCTTCCAAGCTCCCCAGAGCCCCGGCACGCCGCGGAGAGAAAACCTAGGTAAAGGCACGTGGCTTGAGCCGCTCTCCTTAGGACGAGACCGTGACTAGACGGGGTGTCACTGCACAGTTTCTCGTTTCTGTTTTCAATCTCAAATGCATGTGTGACTCTGTTCCAGGCCACAGCCAGCCTTTCCCTCCAACGGGACTCGCGGGCCCAGGACCCGCTGGACACGGCGCGCCCAGACCGGTAGGCAGCACCTGCCAGGGGTGGGAGTCTGGGTTCGAGGTCCCAGTTTGCTTCCAGCCACAAGGGTTGCCTTGGGGAAGGCGTGTGGCCCATCATGGCCTCTGCCTCTGTGAAGGGTGTGTGGGCGGCTCTGGTCCTGCTTCCTGAGGGGCTAGTGAGGAGATAGTCACCTTCAATGAGAAGGACGTTAAAGTCCGTCATTGTAATCAGATTTCAGGAAAAGGAGCCTGATGGAACTGGTTCTCACGGGGTGTCAGAGGGCAGGGCAGGGCTTGTCCCCGTGCGCTCCTCACACCTTCCCTTACTCGCACAGTCGTCCACTATTCACCCGAAGAACATGCCCTTGGGTGGGAGTAATGTGAAGAAGGAAGGACGTGGACAGTGGTCAGTGGCGTGGGCTGGTCAGTGGCCCGGCCTGCGGGAGCCCTCAGCGGAGAGCGGGAACCGGGACCTGTTACAATAACTAGAAATTAACAGCCACGACTCGTTTCTAATTAGGCTTCTCGTAAAACTTCTGAGCTGGAGATGTTCTGTCTCCTCTTATCGCCTATTTATCATCCAACCTAACGGTCACACTATGTCTGAGGGAGCTCCCCACAGACTCCTGTGCCCGCGCTCCTGTGCCCCTCACTGACTCTGCCACACACACACCCCAATCTGTGTAAAGAACCCTCGGGTGAGGATGTACAGGGCTGTTCTCACCAGCCTGAGAAGTCATGGGAGCTCTTCCTTCTGTGCTGGCACCAAGTCTCGGTCAGCCCTCAGTCAGTCTCTGCACCTGCTCTGTCCTGGGCGTGGCCTGTGGGGCGGGACCGCTGGCAGCTGGTGGCCTTGAGAAGGGCAGCCATGCCTGCTCTCGATAAGCGATGCCTGCCACTGAGGAGCATTTGGAAGATGAAATGCCTCTATGAGCTTCATCCACATGGCGCGGCCCATTGTCAACTGAGAAACACAAATGCCGACCTTCAGCAGGGGAGGGGGTGGCTGTGCATCCAGGGCAGCCGCTGGCTGGCTGGGGAGGCCAGGAAGCGGGGAAGAGGAAGGAAAGGAGAGAGGGCAGGTGCCATCTCCCCCGGAGAGCAGCGCGTGTCTGAGGTGATCCTGTGCTTCTCCCGTGCAGCCGATCCCGGCGATCCCGCCCCGCGCCGGGGTGATCAGCGCCCCGCAGAGCCAGGCCCGGGCGTCCGCTGCGTCTGCTGGGAGGC